TAGATAGATAGATAGATAGATAGATAGATAGATAGATAGATAGATAGATAGATAGATGGAAGTGAGAGTAGGTAGGGGAAGGGAGTCCATGTAGCCTTTTGCCCTATTAGATCAAAAAAGTTTGAGAATCATTATTTTAAACCAGTGTGTTGCCATGCCCTGTTGTTCTATCCAAGGTTTATGTTGTTTTATTCACAAATAAATATTTCACAGATTAAATGGAGGTTAAACACCATGACTTGGTCCTTAGTAGGATGGAGACCAGTTTCATCAAACTAATGAAACAGTAGAAATTTCTTTTGCCAAACAAAAACCTGGAGGAGGAAAAAAATGGAATTGAGGGAAGTTCATGCTCCCCAAAATGGAATTTTCTTGGACCAAGGGTTTAGGGGACTATTAAGTCACATCCCCAGGACAAAGAAGCTCCATTTTGTCAGTTCTTTCTTCCTGCTGTCAAGACTAAAGTTTTTCTAATAATTATGTAATTCCCTTGGGCCCAGTGCCCAGTGGCAAACAACTGGAAATATGAAAGCTTCAAACCAAGGAGTCATTAGCAATGCCAGAGTATAATGTGAGGAGTCAAGCATCCTGCTTAAATTGGCTTCCTCCAACACTTTTTGAGCCAAAGCCATATTTCTCTGCATCAGTTACACTCAGTGGATCAAAATTTGTTTTCTAAGAACTATTTTATATTCAAAACACTTTTGGCTACCTCCTTGAAAACAGAAATTCATGTTTCACAGCAGTCAATGGAACTGAATGTCAAAAGTCCCTAACTGATTGGGGAGGATGAATTTACCAGTTCTGAGCCAAACTTTTATACCTACTCTTACTATAAGAGCACATTGTTCTGGAAAGTTTGGAATTCCTAGTGAAAATGAACAAAGTAGAAGTGTGATATCTTTATCAAAAGCAGCCAGTGACCTCATCTGTGCCCATGTGCTTGTATAAATATAATATCTGTAAGCTTATAAGATTCCATGTTTTCCAAATTTTTAATTGAATTACCTTCTCGCAAGATTTGCAAAATGGAGCAAAATGCTTCTCAAAACAGGGCACACAGTAGTTTTTACTGTCTTTGGTCATTACAGGGTTTTTTCCCATAGGTTGTCCACAAGACTGGCAAATAAAACAACTTGCATGCCATTCGTTTCCCCTGAATTCTATTCTGCGGGAGCCTGCAAAATATAAAAATAAAAATTAGAATCTTCTAAGAAACAGTTTAACCATATCTGTAGCATCTTATGCAGCCTGTTTATGTCAACCTGTTTAAAGAGTATTTATTTTTTTTTTGAGTTATGGAGGATTGGATTGGGAAGAAGGATGGTGGCTTATTTAAATTGGCACTGTTTATTTCTTGAAAATATATTCTTGTCAACCACCAACAAATAATAGAATTCTTTTTTTGGAGACATTCTCCAAGTACTGTACATATCACCAATTTGGAAATATTACCCTTCAGGAAGTAATACAAGTGAAGTACATGAATAGTTTCAAGTGGTTCGGATAAATTTGTGAATTTTAGACTTATGCTAGTTTTTAAAGGAGAGGCTGAGGATGCTCAGAATCCATCCCTATCTTTTTGAGGATAAATACCCTGCCTTACCACAAAATGTTCACAGTGTCAGTGTCAGGGGCATACTACAGAACTGATTTGAACATTGATGTGCCTCCAAACCAATTGTTTTCTAAGAACCAACAAGACATACTCTTGCACTCTTCAAATTAAGACTACTGGAGCCTAAAGAAGGTTACGAGCAGAATAAGAAGGGTTGTATTGTATCTCAATGCAGGGATTAACCTATAACTCTGTTCATCCTAGCCTTTTGTCCTTATGAAAATGTATAGTACATGAAAGTCCCAAAAGTCTGCTCCAAGAAACTGGAGATGAGCCAAATGAAACTATTTAAACCACTTTTTTCTGATCCCATTCACTCATGCCTTGGATAACTTGGCATATGGTTAGTTACTATGGGGACTTCACATTTATGTTAATACTGCTCTTTGAATTCTTCCCATGACCATAAAAATTGGTTTTAGAGAGAAACACGTGGTAATACAGTTTATTTATGCCCTAGGAGAAGAGAGTGGTTTTCAGGTTGTGTTCTGGTTTTGTTTTAAATAGAGAGGCACCACTAGATAATCTTTGGAAAGGTGCCTCACTCAAAACTAAGGGATAATTCTTGGTCAGCTGCTAGTCTATTCAAGTGCCTGAATTTAATTAAAAACTGTAATATGACACTTTTATTTAGTGACTGAAGAGTCCTTGTTATCTTACCAGGCATAATGATCTTCTTACACTGGAAGCACTTGGAGGAATGCTCATTAGTATAACACGCAGTACACAGCAAGACTTTATCCTTGACAGCAAAAGGCTTTTCCATCAAAGAGCGATTACACTTGGCACACTTGAAGCAGTCGTCATGCCAATGTAGGTCTTTGTAGGAAAAATCCTTTGAGAAAGTAAATAAATGTTAATTAAAAGCATTTGCTGCAAAATAGGCCTTTTTATAAGAAAAACTAAATACTCCCAGGACCCTGGTACCAGTAGGTTGTGCTGGTTGCTTGAGGGAAAAGTTATTAGTGATTCTATTATCTATAGGGAGAAGAAATCTATGAGCTCATTATGGGCCAAAGCCTGAGGCCTTCTTGGTGGATTACCAAAAGGCTGTTGCAGAATAATCTGAAGCTTTGCTTGTCCTTCATATTCACTAATACTATGCATCGAGGTGGTATAGTGGATAGAGCATAGGACTTGGGCCTAAGAAACCCGAATTTAAATCCTACATCAAATATTTACTAGCTCCATAAGCCTGGGCAAGTCACTTAATTTCTCTGTGCCTCACTTTTCTCATCTGTAAAATGGGGATAATAGCACCCATTTCGCAGAGTTTTTGTGAGGACCAAATGAGTTAACATAAATGTTTTTGCAAACTTTAAAATGCTATACAAGTGCTAGTTATTATTGTTATTATTATTAATTATCATCATCCTTCTGTCTATAACTTGAGAGATTATTTTTTCATAGAAAGTTGGGGCAAGTTCTAAAGGGGAGTAGTATCAGTGCCTCCTCTGGACTGTGCCTTCACCTTTAAATGCTGCAAATGGGTTAATTGATGCTGCAAGTTAAGACAGTATGGCTGCCATCATGATTAAAAGTTGGCCCTTAGGACCAGAACACTAAGAATCACAAAGGAAATATTATACATTACCATTCAAATGAAAGCATGAAGGAGATATGATTTCAGCAGAGTAGGGAATTCCCAGTATGAGAATTATCTCTGTTAATGTGGATTAAAACCCATTCATTATTTAGTAGGTAAATTCTGGAGAGATCACAGATCCACATAATTTTGAGAGTTGGAAGAGACCTCAGTAGCCACTTAGTTCAGCCTATACCCAAAAGAAATCCCCACTGTAACATACTTGACAAGTTATCTTATAGCCTCCCTTTGAAGATTTCTAATCAAGAAAATCCATCGTCCCCCAAGTTAGCACATTTCACTTTTAGACATAGGTTAATTGTCATGGACAACATTTGAATCCATTTCTTTCTGACTCCTAGCCCTATACCTATTATGCCTTGTTGTCTCTATGCCAATAGTATATTGTTAAAATATTCTATATTCATTTATAGTAATAAAAAACAAAGCAGATAATTCATTTTCTCTGAGGAGTATAAAGTTAAACAATGTAAAGGAACATTAAACAAAACATATAAAATATGTCATTTCTTCTTATTGATTGGTAAGAACTACTCTCTCTCACACAGACCTACAAGTTGTTTATTCATTGCCAAATAACTGTTGATTCTACTTTTATAATATAATAATCTCGATCAATCCTTTCCTTACCATTCTCTGTGATAACACCCTAGTCTAGTACTCATTTCTGTTCTGAAGGACTATGTAATAGATTTCTAATTGGTCTCCCAGTCTAGTTTCTCCTCCTTGAAAACATTCTTCACATTGCTCCCAAGTTAACTATCCAAATTTGATCGTGTCACGCTCCCGCTAAAAACCCATCAAAGGCTTCTCGTTTTCTGGTTCCCCATTTTCTGGTAAACAAAATTCAAATGCCTTAAACTGGCATTCCAAGCCTTCTGACACATATTGACTGTGTGACCTTGGCCCTGTAGGACACTTAACCTCTTAGTGTCCCAGGAAACTCTCTAAATTTATAAATTGAAGTTTAGGGGCTAATTGCATTCCTAGAAGGAGTTCCTTGTTGGGAGCTTCATATAGCGATTAAAGCAAGATCTAGACAAAAAATAACCAATAGAATAGAAAATACAATTTTCTTGGGAGTTTTTTTCGGTAAGAATGAAAGGGGAATATAACTTTCAGGCTTTAAAATAAGCTATAAATCAATACTAATCTGGTTAAAAAATATGATGGTAGATTAATGGAACAGAAGAGATAAGGAAGAATCAGAAACAACTGGGATTGATAACTCAAGTATGTTTGCAAACCTAAGAACATAAATTACTTCTTTTAAGACACAAATTGCTGGAGAAATGGGAAAGTAGTCTGGCAGAAATTAAGTTTAGCCCAACATCTCACACAATGTTCCAAAATAAGATGAAAATAAATATGTGACCTAAGTTTTAAGGTCCCAAGAGACCTCAGGTTTCAGATTTGCCTTAGAATGAGCACTGTCATTGACTACAACGATACTATTTCCAACTTTCTTGAGAATCACCAAATATCAAGAATATATGAAATCAGATTGAAACCAAGAGCAGTTGCAGTCAAATAGTCTCTCCCTGCCCTGCTCTTTGTTTTTTAGAGAGGTTTATTCTTGGTCTCTATAATAGCAGCCCATGTGAATAGTGAGGGTCTTGCTGGGTCTTCGAAGCAATGATATCCCCTCCCTACTCAACCCCATGTCCTGTAATTGCTTTTTATCTCCAAATAGTCAATGCCACCCCAGCATGGAGCTTTCTAAAATAGTATTTTCATGACTAGGTTGTGTGTCTCTGGATTTTACCTCCTCTCTCTATTGTTTTTCTGAATTTTTCCTACCTTCACACTTGTTTTCCTCTGCCTATGCAATTATATTTTTACTATGTTCACCTTGGGTCACACTTCCTCATTCTAAATCTATGAGAAAGCAGGTTTTGGAGGGGGTTGCAGCAGGGCCTAGCCAAAGCCCACTGAAAAAGACTGACAGATCATATACCTTGCATAGCTTAAACAAAAAAGCTAATTGGGGTGATGACTAAAGATTAATAGTCTTAATTACATGAAGTTTTAAAGTTTTTGCACAGACGAAATCAATGAAACTAGGATACGAAAAGTCAGTTGAAAAAAAGTCAATTGGGAAAAATTCTTTGTGTCAAGTATCTCTGATAAGAATCTAATAGAAAAATTATAATGGGAAATTACATAAAAATATGAGGGAACTATTCCTCAATGAACAAATGGTCAAAGGATATAAAAAATTTCACAAAAAAGAGTAATTGCAAATGATAACATATGAAAGAATGCTCTAAACCACTAATAATAAAAATACATATCAAAATAACTCTGAATTTTAATACCTCATATACAGCAAATTACCAGAGATAGGAAAAGATTAGCAATAATCAACGCTCCTATAGGCATGATAATACAGCAACTATAAATTGGTCCAAACTTTCTGGAAAGTAATTAGACATTATACTAAGGAAGTTACTAAAATGTGAAAATTTGGGGGGAGGGGAAATAGACTAAAACACCTATATCCTAGGTAGTGCAGTAGATAAAGCATTGGGCCTGGAGTCAGGAAGACCTAAATCCAGGCTCAAATCCAGGCTCAAATACTTCCTAACTGTGTAACCCGAGCAAGTCACTTAGCCTCTGTTTGCCTCACTTTCCTCATCTGTAAAATGAAGATAAGAATAGCACCTACCTCCCAAGGGTTATTATGAAGATTAAATGAGATAATAATTGTAAAACACTTAATTAGCACAGTGCCTGACACAAAGTGAGCACTTTATAAATGTTAGCTATTATTATATAATTTATTTAATTGAATACAAATAATCATTATTATTTTTTACCCAAACATCCCATTGCTAGGCATATAGTCTAAGAACATCAATGATTAAAAAGGTTCCACATACGCCAAAGTATTTTAGTAGCCCTTTTAGTGGTTTTAAAGAACATGGAACATAGCAGATGCCTAAATAAATTGAGGTATGTGAATGGAATGGAATATTACTAAGTTATTAGAAACAATGAAAATGTGCTATAGGAAGATTTATACGACCCAAAGCAAAGTGAAATAAACAAATCCAGGAAAATACCATGCACAGAGACTATAACCATGAACCATAAATTCTGTGAAATAATAATAATCAAGCTTGGTTCCAAGAAAAAGATATGAGACTATATTGCTCTCTCTTCTTCGTAGAGGTGAAGGACTGTAAGTGTGGGATGTTGCATATAATGTCAAACTTTGCTTAGATGTGTTGGTTAGTATTGCTGAGATGCTATTTTTCCCTCTCTTCTTTGTTATAAGGAATGGGAAGAGACAGAGAGAGAGACAGAGACAGAGACAGAGACAGAGAAAGAAAGAGACAGAGATAGAGAGAGAGAAGAAAGATGATAGATAAAAGTTTTACTAACATTTTAATTAAAAAGATATTAAATTGCAATTTCCCATATGAGGAAGGCCTATATTGCACTGTATAGATCCTTTATGGATGATTTTGGGGAAGCACGGATAAAAATGCCATCAGACAAGAAGGCCTGGGTAGTGTGCTATCTGCTTTGCTAGAGGGAGCACATTCATCAGGAAAGGTCATTATGGGATAGTATGTGAAAAAGAGTCTTGAATATGGAATGAGAAGACCTGTTCTTAGCTCTGTCACTTACTACCTAAGTAATCTTGAAGTAGCCAGTTAGGATCACCAACTCACACATTTAGAGTTGGAAGGGACCTCAGAAATCGCCTAGTCTAACATCTCATTTTGAAGCTCACCAGGGTTAAGTAAATTTTTCAAGGCCACACAGGTAGTTAACATCATGGGTGGGATTTGAACCCAGTTCCTTTGACTTGAAAGCCAGTAACCTCAGCTTCAATTTCCACATCTATAAAATGAAGAGATATACAACATCCCTTTTCATTTTAAATCTATATTACTAGGAGTTAAATAAATATTCAAATATATGTTTCCCTGTAGTAACCAGAAGTAAAAACTCCAAAGAGCACATATGCATATTGATTGTTTCATTAGGATTTAGTAGATAAATGCTAGGTAGAGTTGCTTGAGTTACAAAGAAATTCTGTCACTTGAACAGGGTCATAAAACTAAATGTCAGAGGTGGAATTTGAACCCAGATCTTGATCCCAAGTCCAGCATTCTATCCATTGTACCATGCTGCTGCCTTGCACATAATAGACACTTAACAAATGTTTGTTAAATTGAATTGAATGCATCAATAAAATCAGAGGTATTTTCAAATGTAAAGTATTGCTCCAATATCTCAAAAGATCTGTGCTTTCATCAGTGGGGATTCCTTTAATGAAACCTCTCCACAATTATTTTCCTCTTCTTTACGGTAATTTTTTTTGAAGGCTTTAAAAAGCAATACATGGGCAGAAAGTATGAATTAAAAGTATTCAGTATAGTTCCTTTACTGAACTCTTGAATCTTCTTTATGCATAGGTCAAACCTCATTATTCCTAAATTAAAAGAGAACAATACAGTAAACAAAACAGTGGCCCTTTGTTTATCTATAGCAGGGAACCTTAACTTAGATTCTGTGACCTTGGGTTTTTTTTTCTAATATTTTTATAACTATATTTCACTATAATTGATTTCCTTTAGAATCCTATTGGTTTTGTTTTTTTTTTTTCACTTAAAAACATTATTCTAAGAAGAGGTCCATACTGATATTATTCTGAGAGGGTGTAACCATACTACCAAAGGGAGGCTGTAACACAAAAAGAGGTAAGAACTCCTGAACTAGGGAATAAAATACAGAATCCTCAGTCTGGTATTTAAGAACTTCCGAAGTCTGTTTCGAGCCTTCTCTTCCAGCCTTATGTCATTTCCCTTCATTCACCCTAAATTCCAGTCAAATTATGCTATTTTTTCCTCCTTTGATCTGATCTTGCCCTCTCTTGCTTCTTGGTATTCACTTAGGCTATTTTTTCCTCATGCCTGAAACACACTCCTGCTTCATCTCTGTTTAAATCTTTTGTTTTCAGGCAAAGCCCACTCAACTCAGCTGCTTCCTCCTCCATGGATCCTTACCTAATGCTCTCAGATGAAAATTATTTCACTTCTCTTAAATTCTCCAATGGTTTTTTGAATGGTCCTTTTGTTCCAATACCTCTACCTCGTATACTAATTTGCTTATATGGTATTCCTCTTATTAAATTGTAAACTACCCAAGGGCAGAGATTGTCCTATGTAGTCTTTACATCTATGTATCCACAGTTCCTAGGGTAGTATCTCACATGTATTGGTCCAGACTTGAGATTTCACTGCTGTGAGAAACTCCCTTCATCAACGTGGATAAGCAACTCCTCTATAACTTCTAGTTTAGGGAGTTGCCTGAAAACATCAAAAGACTAAGTGACTTGTCCAGGATTGTACATCTGGTATGGGTAAGAAGGAAGACTTGGGTTCAAGTCTTCCTGATTTTATTACCAAATGCTGTCTCTCACCTTCCATATGAAGGTTCTTTTAAAATTTATTATTATTATTTTTAACATTTTTTTAAAAAAATGTTGATTTATGAATTCTTTCCCTCCCACTTCACCTGCACCCATTGTGAAAGCAAGAAATGTGATATCAAATATCATGTGGGTTTTTAATACACATTTTAAAAATTAGATTCAATCAACTGGATTTTGTCTTGCACATACTGGGTATCAGTACTGTGCTAGGTAAAATGGTATAGGTAATGTCTTTTGACTCGCATGTAAATTAGATTTAAGTGAGGCAGAATTGCTTGAAGTTGTTGGCCTCACTCTCCTCCAGAGTCATTGGAGCCCAGTGGCAAGACAAAAGTCAAGTACAACTGTGGATGGCTCTGGATGCAGTGGATAGCCTTGGTGTCTTCAGTGTCTGACCAAGCCTTAAGTGCTCCAGATTGCTTGCTTCCACTGCCATCATGGCTTGTTGAAACAAAATGTTCACATCTACCTCTTCTGTTAGGGAATTCTTGACATGCTTGGGATAGACACCCCCCTAACTCACCAATGGGTTTGAGGCCTGTCAGTTACCCTTAACCTAGGTTAGCCTGACTGCTGACATAGTTGTACTGGCATGTGGCTGCTGTGCATACTACAGCTTTATGAAGCTACAGGTGAGAGCTGGGTGGCAGTGGATACCAAAGATGGATAAGCAACCCGGAAAAGAGTTTGGCAGCCCTCACTCCAGAGGTACTAGTGCTCCTTGAACATCCAATGGCAAAATTTAGTTGCCTGGAGAAGTTCATCATTATTGTATGCCAGTTTCATTATCACATGCTTGCATGGGTTCTGGATAATGGACAATGCTCTTATGCTTTTCCAGTCACCAGTGGAATGAAGCAGGGCTGTGTGTTTGTTCTCATGCTTTCCAGCACAATATTTTCAGTGATGTTGTCAGACATCTTCAATGAGGATGAAAATGGCATCAAGGTCAACTACCACACTAACAGTAAATTATTTAACTTTAGAAGGCTATAAGCTAAGACTAAAGTATAGGGAGAGTTGGTGTGACACTTATTGTTTGCAGATGATTGTGCACTCAATGCAGCCTCTGAGGCTGATACAACAAAGTGTGGATTGATTCTCTTGCACTTATGCTAAGTTTAGCCCAACAGTTTACACCAAAAAAAGCAGAGGTTCTCTACCAGGCAACACCACATCATCTATATGTGGAACCATTGGTTATAGCAAAGTGAGAATTTTTGAATGCTATAGATAAGTTCACTTACCTTGACAGTACACTTTCCAGGGAGGGACATATAGATGATGAGGCTGATATATGCATTGCCAGATTTAGTTCAGCATTTGAGAGACTCCAAAAGAATTTATGGGAGAGAAGACGTATTATACTGCCTACCAAACTGAAGGTCTAACAAAGCCATTGTACTGACTTCATTGTTGTATGCCTGTGAAATCTGGACAATCTACCAATGCCATGCCAGAATTGGACCACTTCCATCTGAATCGTCTTAGGAAGATTCTGAAGATTGCCTGGCAAGATAAGGTACTAGACACTGAGACAGAGGTCCTTTCTTGAGCTGAACTGCCAAGCATTCAAACTCTACTGCAGAGAGCACAACTCTGATGGGTTGGCAACATTGTTTGAATGCCAAATGTATGTTCGCTTAAAAGACTGTTTTACAGAGAAATAGCATAAAGCAGGCCCTCACAGGGAGGATCAGAAGAAGCCATAAGACAAGGACACTCAATGTCTCTCTGAAGAACTTTGCTATCAATTTTGAGACATGAAAGACACTGGCAAGACCACCCAGCATAGATTGACTGCATCAAAGAAAATGCTGTGCTTTATGAGCAAAGCAGAATTGTGGCAGGTCAAAAGAAACATGAGAGGTGCAAATTTAGAGGCATCTCCCTCCCAAATGGTCATAATGGACTATTTGTGCCCAACCTGTGGTAGAGCCTTCCTAGCTCATATTGATATGATCAGCCACAGCCAGATACCCTGTTCATTGACCCCAACATCACAGTGTCATTTTGGTACTTTTACAGCGTGAAGGACCAGCAACAAAAAAACAACAACTGTGCTAGGGTATAGGAGTACAAAAACAAAAATTAAATCATCCCTGCCCTCAGGGATATATAAAGGGACATATGTGTCATAGGACACATGGGGAATAGGGACTGGACCTATGACTTTTCATTTCCAGGTGAGAAAATTCTCTCCATAATTCCCTCCATAAGGTCAGCATCTTCTCTGGAACTTAGTCTTTAAAAGTTGCTTAGAGTACTGAGAAGCTAAGTGTCTTGTCCAGTTTTATCTAGTCATCACATGTCAGAGATGAGACCTGAACCAAAATCTTCCTGGTTTCTAGGCTAACTCTCTATCCACTATGCCACACTGCTTTTCCATACTCATCTACATCTATATACCTATATTTGCATAGAGATATATTTCTTTGCATATATGTATAAGTATATTCAAAATAGATACAAGGTAATTGGGGAGGAAGGCATTAGTATCTGGGAGTATTAGGAGAAGCTTCATGTAGGAGGTGATGTTTGGGCTAATCTTTGAAGGAAACTAGGCATTCCATGAGAAAGAAATGCATTCCAGGCATGAAGGACATCACCTGTCAGGAATAGCAAGAAGGCTAGTTTGGCTGGACCATACAGTGCATGAAGGTTAGTTGGAATGAGGTTGAAAGGGCTTAAATACTAAACAAAGCAGTTTGTATTAGAATCTAGTACTCTTCAATGTTTCTTTGACATTTGTGTTGGAAATCATTTAAAGAGTCAGTGATGTTATGTGTTCAATGGCAACATCTTAGTAATATAATGATTTTAAACTCCCTCTGATCTTGAGAGGAAATAGAAAATACAAAAGACAGTTCAGTTTGTTAGCTTCTGACATTCATTTTTAGGCATTTCAATGAGTTCTACTACCTAGGAATAAGACCCCAGTGGAGAAGGTAAAGGCTCACCCTTGAATTATATCCAATGGTTCCCTTGCACTTCTCACATATGCTAGAAAAGAGCAGGTTATAACAAGGGATACAGTAAGCCTCGTCGTTCTTTACTGTATATTCCTTTCCATAAACTGATTTCATGCAGTGTAGACACTCAGTTGGAGTTGTCATTTTGGAGTTGATTCTGTTTAGGAAGAAATGAAAAATGCAGTGAATAAATTATATGGATACATTTTTTTTTACCTTTCATTGGAAGGAATGAGCTCTTGGCACAGAAAGAGCCAGGAATTTTTGAGGTCACTTCAGCTCGGCACATTTCCTAAAGGAATGAAGTCAGATTCAGAAGAAAACAAAATGTAGGTACATACCCATGGTGGCACTTAGACCGACTAAAGGTATTTCATGTATCCTGGCTATACATTCTATTTCATAAGAGCAGTTGACAAAATACATCAGGTCAGCAGACAATTGATGACAGGGGTCTTGTATTTACCCTGCACAGAAACTCCAGCAATCAATGGACAGTTCTGTTTATATTGAAATGAGGAAGTTTGCCCACATGGGAATAAATATAATCTGCTAACATTTCCCTGAGTATATTATCACTTGTGGGAAAGTTCGGGAGGTTGAATTCTATAGGAATGTTAGTAGTTCTCTGCTTTTCCAACTTAAAGTAAAGTAATAGTTTAGATACGCTGTCATTTCCCACTTCATCTATTCATTTCATAAATAGATACACTTACTCAGAAGCCCAGTGCTATGCTGGTTTATAGAATCGTAGAGTTAGCACTTGAAAAGGCCTTGGAGGTAATCTAGTCCATAGCACCTTCATTTTACAGATGAAGAAGTGAATTCCACAGAGGTTAAGTGACTTGTCCAAGATCCCAAAGCCAGTAAGGGACGGGTCCAGGGAAAGCCAGGTCCTCTCACTTCAAATTCAATGCTCTTTTGATTGTGCCATCCTTCTTTTCACATTGTTTATTATGGGGCACAAGAGGAGGTATAGTACACACAATGACAATGACAATCCCAATTATAGTTACTGTGATAATTTGACTTTACTGTTACAAAACATTTGTCTATTTTTTCCTATTAGTTCCTTTCAGAAACCCTGGGAATCAGACAATACATGTATTATTATCCCCATTTTATAAACCAATCTCAGGGAGCTTAAATTACTCATTCAAATTTGTACAATTCACAACTAATGAAAGAGGAGATCAAGTACAGGTCTTCCTATCTTAAACACAAAGTACTTCCTTCTACTTCATGTCTTGGGGATAGTTCCCTAAGAGAAGTAAGACATACATGAATATTTGAAAGATCTATGATTTCATTGGGCAGGGGTTAGGGGAAGGTAGGGGGAAAAGGTGGTGGGGAGAGAATATCCCAGTCCGCCAACCTAGAGTCTGTGACTAGATAAAACCTAGGAGTTTCCTGAGGTTGTGACTTTCCCAGAGTCACATTACTAGAAAGTGTCATAGGAGGAGTTTGAATCAAGATATTTCTGACACCAAATCTGCCCCTCTATTCACTCCGACAACCATCCTTTAAGACATACACACAAAAAATTAAATAACACTAGACAACAAGGATGAAAATGCTACAAGATAATATACAAGGAGATGCTGAATGCAGATAATGAACTATGAGACGGGAAAGAATTGAAAGGATAACATGTAGCTTAGAAGAGAAAGTGGTAAACCTGACCAGGAAATGGATTCACTGAAAACTAACCAAACAGAAATCAATGTTTCCATGACATCACAAGTAATATTAGAGCAAGATCAAAAGATTGGAAATAGAATAAAAAGTAAGATAGCTTGATTTGGGAAACAAGGCAAGAGGAGCTGATTTAAGAATCACTGGACTCCTGGAAAACTATGGACATTATCTATCAAGAAATTATAAATTTAACCTGTCCAGGTCAATTTGAACCAGAAGGCAAAATAAAGATAAAAAGAATCCGTAAATTATTTCCTGAAATAAATTCCCAAAGGTAAATTCTTAGGAATGTCATTTTCAAAATACAGAGCTCCCATGTGAAAGAACAAATAAATACTACAGGGATCCAGGATGAAGCTTCTCAAGAACAAGGAATAACAGGCAGTATCACACAAGACCTGGCAGAATCTACTTTTAATGAGAGATTATACACAGTATTCCAAAAGGAAAAGAGAGAGGAGAGGCTCACAACTAAGAATAATGAATCTACAAATCTGAATATAACTTAAAAGAAAAAAAGAATTTTTTAATCGAATAGAAAACTTTAAAAGCATTCCTGATTAGGGAAAAAAGCAGCATTGAGTTTGGAAATACAAACAAGAGTCAATAGAAACCTACAAAGATAGTTATTTCAGAAATTGTAAGGAATATATGAGGGGATACTGCTAACATTTTTAGGAGGGAGAAGAACAAGTATCCCTTCAGAATGTTGATGTTTTCAAAGGGTATTAAAGAATAAAATAAGAAAAACCTGAGGTCTTAGGAATGGAAGGGTTCAGTTCTGAGGGTTTTAATAAAGGAAAGAGAAGGGAAGATAAAAGAATGAAAACACTAGTATATAAAGGAGGATAAAAAGGGGATGGGAGTTGTTATTTCTTATCATTGGATGGCATGAGAAGAAAAATACACACACATTCAGGAAGAGATGAGGGGGAGTGGTCATCAGATGAATCTTACTCTTATCTGAAATGGACAAACGAGGATTTAAATACAGAGAGTTTGATGTAAAAATGCATCACACTCAACAGCAGCAGAGAAGTGCAGAATTAAGCAGTGGAAAAACTCTAGGGAGGGAATAGTTAAAAGCAAAACAAACTTGCTAATTCTGAAGAGGAGAAGAGAAAAAAAAGAACTAGAATTTAGGGGGTTATCTTAGATTGCCTCTTAGACAATTAGAGTATGGACGAATAAACTATGGAGTACAAATGTAGGGCAGTATTATTGTACCATAAGAAATGATGAAAACAATGATTTCAGAGAATGCTGGGTATTATTAACCAAAACAGAGTGAAGTAAAGCAGAACCAGATGAACAATTTCTATTAAAACAATATTGTAACAATGACAACTTTGATAGGATTAAAAAATCTGGTCAAAGTAATGACCAATCATGTCTCTGGAGGATCAATGATGAGGCATTTTACTTACCTCCTGATGGATAAATGATGGACACAAGGTATAGAGCCATCTTTTATGGACATAGTTACTATGTGGATTAGGATTTGTTTAATCATGCTCATATCCTCAGTTAATTTGAGAGGAGGAGAAAAAGGATATGTATGTATATGTAGGAGGGTGGATTTAACAATAGTTTTGAGAGAGTGAGAGGGAGAGGAAGAGTGAGAGAAAGTGAGAGAGAAAATATGAACTCCACTGAAACACTTTCAGAATTAAAGAAAAAGTTAAAAACAAAAAATAAAACACTCTGGCCAGTGCCAAAGGAGCAAGTCTTCAGTAAAAACTGTAATCTACATATAATACCAGCTTCACTAGTCATTCCCACAGAGACTACATCAACTATTAATGCTTTTGATAGACAGAGAATATACTCTTGGGGAGTTATAGTTAACTATGAATATGGAAAGAGTTAATTACTATGACTGAACAATACTATATGAGGCACAGAGGAAAAAAAGACTAAAAGAACTTTTTTTTCTTAAGAGACTGAGTAGATAAACTATCATGGAGAAAGAGTTTGAAAAGACATTTTGAGAGAATTAAATTTAACTCTTTTTTGTAGTGAAGTTAGCTAAGAATTCCTGAGGGACTTTGACTTCCATTCTGAGAGAATTGTGGTTTCTATAGTAAGGAGACATCCGCAGTTGCAGCTATAGAGGTGACTCTGGCTGTGATCTTTCTCATGGAAGATACATTCTAGAAATATTTAAATACATCTTTGTGTTATTTTTACAGTGTTAATAAATTATTTAGCCAGCAACATTGATGTTTGTCTAAGCCTACGAGACCAGGGAGATAAAGGAGGAAAGGAGAAGAGGCAGAGTGGAAGGGAAGGGAGAGCAAAAGAGAACTTATGGGAAAAGTTGTTTCTCTCATTTACTTATAAAGTGATATCAGGGATAGGGCTAATTATTTAAAAAAAGTCTACTATTTATTTTTAAGGAAGTATCAAAATACAAATCTTTATATTCTTAGAACTCACATAGAGAATCAATGGGCTAATAGCAGGTAGAGAGGGTGAATTTGGTGTTGTTGGCCAACTAGAGTAAATACTTAATACTCATATGGGGTATAAGTGGGAACCATCCCTAAAGTCTGTTACCTATACATATGCATTGTATTTTCTTAGTACATGATGTATTTCAATACTTTAAGGAAGTATAATTGATTTTCCCTCCTTTGACATTGCAATTCCTTTCCATTCTAAGTAGATGGTTTTCAACAGGTGTTTGGGTAAAAAAAAAGTCATCACCCTGTGGTCAGCTTGCTGTCGAAATTCTTCAAATTCACCTGGGCTGGTCCATGGATGACAGACCTGTGCGCTGTCATTGGGCCTATACTTAGGGTCTTTCCAACTTAGTAGAACCTGTCAGAGACAGGTAAAGCTCTAATGGCAGACTTCAAGAGCTTAAAGCCACTTCCGTGTAACAGTGAGGACTGAGAGTGATAATTAATTTTTTTAAATTTTAAAATTCTTAACAAGATGCATGCTGGATTTTTTTTTTAGTTTTAATATTTTCATACTATAAATCCATCCCTCTCAGCTCCCCTTAAACATTCTATCCACATGCCCCTTTTATTTCTACCCCTGGTAAAGAAGTTTCTGATAAATTGTTGTAAGAATACACGTTCTTTATTAATAAAGGTATTATTATATCCTTTATTACTAGGAGTTTCAAGCTATGGCTTTTGTTAGTGCTTCTCTGAGGTCATAGAAAAAAAAGAAATCTAGGCCAGAAAGTTCCCAGTGAAATATGAATATGACCAAAACTCTTTGCAAGGATCACTGAATTCCATATTTGATTACTGCAACAGAAAATGTCATTCTCCATTTAATACAAGCACTCTCAAAAGATTATAGAGGGTTTAGAAACAGGAGGAAAATAGATTTGGTTCTCTTGAAATGTTTAAAAATACATATCTGATTCATATTAAAAACCATCATGTTCCCTCTCCTACCCACTCAAAACCCCTTACCCCAGTCTGTGCTCTATTGTCAATT